TTGAGCGATGGACACACACACACACACACACACACACACACACACACACACACACACAGAGAGAGTTGGCTTAGTCTGAACTTATTCTTCTTGTTCTCATGCTACTTAAAGCTTATGTAACACTATTAATTTGTTGGTCACTAGATATCAAAGGGCCTTTTTTTTTTTTTTACCAGAAATGGGTAACACTATCATAAAAAGACACTAATAGATTATTTTGGGCCACTAATAGCAATCTATATGCATATGTTTTGTCTGCTCACTCATTAAAGAACTGAAACATTACACGGCTTGCCTGACATGTTCACACGGAGCTTAAGGGTGTGATCATTTCCTGTGAATCATTTGCACACACTTTTCTGTTCTGTCACTCTATGTGAGATATGAGTCTTGTGAACGAATAAGGTTATATCAGGCCACAGTAGGAACCGAAAACTTTCTGCATGGTGTTGAGGTCATTTCCTTCTTCTGGAGTTCCTGTATGCCCTCCTGGTGGTGCTGTGGAAGTTTTGTATTTTGACTTGTCCTTCACCCATAATACTGACTCTTCAGAAGAGCTTTTAAAGGGGTCATATGATGCGATTACAACGCCTCCGGAGCGCAAGCGCCCGAACGCTTTGGGGAAAAAGCAGAAAGCGGCGCGCCTAGCGTTTTCCACGCATTTTTAGGCGCGACATGTGAATGGCCCCTAAGTCATTATAATCCGTAATTATGTCCCCACTGGATGCAACAAATGCCTCGTTTATAATGGGTTTTAATGTTTTTGTCTCGTCACTCCGGCCGGACAGTGCATCACAATATGGTAGCATTTCCGTCACGCTTGAGGTATTCGGCCAATCACAATGCACTGGATAGCTGGCCAATCAGAGCACACCTCGCTTTTCAGAACGATTAGCGCGTTTCAGAAAGGCGGGGCATAGAGGATTAACAATAATGTACAGTATGTGGAAAATAATGTGTTTTTTTAACCTTAAACCGCATAAACGCATTTCATTACACCAAATCACATCATATGACCCCTTTAAAAAAACTTCTACAGTTTGAACTAATTACAAAATACATATACTCTACTGTTCAAAAGTGTGGCGTTGCTAAAATATATTAAATGTGTATATATATGTATGTGTGTGTGAATATAACGGTATTATCTTCTGATAGGTCAATTTTTAAAAGGTTGTAATTTTAAATGTTATTCAAACTATTTTCCATATTAAGTTAATGTCATTATTGCGATGTCCATTGTCAGCAAAAGCAGCCTGCTCATTTGAATAAGTTACAGTGAGTCAGCAGAAAGGCCTGCCTTATGAAAACTGCTTCCCAATGCAAATATTTCCATTGATTTACCTCAGGACACCTTATGTTTATACAGCCAACTAGAAAACTCAAATATTTTTCTTGTATCACTGTATAAATTTGCCAATATGCTTTTTATTTGTCCAGATAGTCTTTAGGTGAGTGTGTTTGTGTTTTTACCAGAGTAAAGTTTGGTGCACATGTATACGTGTGCAGTTAAAACATTATTTAGTGTAATGCAATGTGTTTATTTTAAGGTTAAAAAAACGCATTATTTTCCACATACTGTACATTATCGTTGCTCCTCTATGCCCCGCCTTTCTGAAACGCGTCGATTTTTACAAAGCTCATCAGTCTGAAAAGCGAGGTGTGCGCTGATTGGCCAGCTATCCAGTGCGTTGTGATTGGCCGAATGCCTCAAGCATGTGATGGAAATGTTACGCCCCTTACCATACTGTGATGCCGTGTCCCGGAGCGATGAGACAAAACCAATAAAACCCATTACAAACGAGGCATTTGTTGCATCCAGTGGGGACATAATTACTGATTATAATGACTTATACAGTCTTTTTACACATTGCGTTGCATATCACGCCGCGTAAACATAAAACCATGTCTGCATTTGTGATCTGAGAAAGGACAAACAACAAGCACTACTCTACACTCTTCACGTTTGAATCGTCAGTGGCAAATTCTTTAAATATGAAAACATACTTACAGGCTGTATCAGGCTGAGTCAGAAGCGCCTTGCAAAGTTGGAATTGCCCCACTTTATAGAAATAGCCTTTGTGCACATCCGCATTGTAGGCTACTCTCCCAGGAAACAGTCCTCCATAACATGCGCTGCATATTTGGTTTGAACTGTTCTGGAACAGTGTTGTAAATCTGATTTGAATAAATAAGCTATGCTTTGGCCGACGTTAGTGTATACTCTTCTTTTTTTATTTTTAACGACTGCCTAAAATGAAATGATGATAACGCGAGGCAAGTGTGCGGCAAGTGGAATTCATTGAGGGATTTGACAGTGTGATTCATAGATTAAGTATTTCAAATATAGGCTATTATATAGGCTATGCTACACGCACGCACAGAGGTTTTTTTTTCTTACCATCTTTTGGGGGTTTCTTGCTTTTAGACTAGTCGACTAGTCGGATACAAAACTTACGTTTAAACGACAGTCAAATTAGTCGTCGCGCACATCCCTAATTTCTAGTTGTGTCCTCTTTTGGAAGGCCAAACAAAGTAGTTTCGCTTTCACAACGAAACATACAGCATCTCCATGACATGGCGGCGGCGGCAACAATACTACAGCGAGAATCAAAGTTACGCCTTCTTTCTTTGCATGAACATTTGGGCAGTGTTATGCAAGTCTTCCCACACAGTGACGTAGACATGGGACCGTGTTTAAACAAGGTGTTTTAGGAGACGTGGACGAGTCCTAACTTTTATAAAGAATATCTCTTTGGGTTTGAGACTTTAGTCTTTGCAACTTTAGGGATCTTATCTATGCACAAACAGCTTGTAACACTCTAAAGAGAAAGGAAAACTTGAAATCTCACCATATGACCCCTTTAAGCAGATCAAACATGCCCCATAAACTTGTTCACCCACTGCCCTGCTGTAAACTGGAAGTGAAATCATCAGTGTGTGTGTGGGTGTGAGACACTTTGACTGTTTGACAGCATGCCTTTTGAGCTATTTTTTATTCAGTTTTTCCCTCAGTGGACGGGAAATATGTAAGGGAAGTTATAGATAGAATTGTGTATGTGTGTTTAAGAGGGGAATGTGAAGAGCAGCTCTAGTTTTAAACCTGATAAAACTTATCAGAACACAGCAGCACGCTGTAGACGCCACGCCTTCTCACTTTTTGTTATGCACTCTCTAGCCATCACAGACAGATGAGTCTTCCTCCCTCCCTCCCTTCCTTTAGAAAGGAGAAACCTCTGGGTGTGGTTGGTAGCAGCTGTGTTTTGATTGGTTGCTCTCCCAGGCGTATATTATCACCCGTTGGACACGTCCTTGCTCCACCCAGATAACGCACTCAAGCTGAAAGGCTCCGCCTACTGTTGTCAAATCATCACATCAAAGTGTTCAGTCTATCCTGCATGAACAGACAGGTAGTAAGGTTGGCCTCTCGCTGTGTGAAAGCTCAAGTGAACTTTAGGTTACGTTTTGCAAAGTGCTCACAGCTGGCCTGTGGCATGTGGAATATCAGGCAGGTGGAAGAACGCAGTGACTGGATTTACAAGTGCTCGCTTTTACCTAATTCCAGCGTTTGTCGTCTTGGATTTACCACCATCAGCTTCTGCACTACGATAAGAGATCATATCCACTTTGTCTGGGTGCTTGTGTATATAGAGACTTCTAGTTTTAACTGACACGACAAAGAGGAACCTGTGGTGAAGTCCAAGTTTGACAAGCTGTGGTTTTGCTTGGGTGGAGGAGCCGTTCTGTGGTCGTCTGTCCGGTCCCAAGCGGCCTGATTCCTCAAGAGGTGATGGTGGGTGGCAGGGCCGTTACCGTGCGCCCGCACAGGCGCTTGGAGTGAAAGTGTTGCAGTGCAAACATGGAATTCTTCAAGAGTCTCGTTCCCACGGTCATCTCTGGGGACGGCGGGCTGCCGGCAACGGACGCGGTGGGAGTGTGGCCACGGGAGACTGGCCCTCGCTTGCTGAGGATGAAGAGGCTGGTTTCACAGGCCAATGAAGAGGAGCAAGATGGATCCAGTCTGACTAGCCGGCCGGCTGTCCGTCTTCAACGACATCGTGCCAAAGGTACCGTCAGGAAAGAGGAAGGAATGGGTATTCAAACATTAATTTAACTGTCGCCGAGAGGAATGTTTGATTAGGAGGTGTGTGTGCCAAGTTGTCGTGTTTGCACCATTTTTGTTTATAGTTCAGCTGTGATATATAAGATAAATCGCAGACGAGGGAACAAGCAAATACTTTGTGTAACCGAACTGTGTGCAAAGTCTTAAGTTGGTCATCTGTGAGAATTATTCGAATATTGAGAGTAATTATAAAACCAGGAACTTTAAAGTATTTTATGCAATGCAAATGCAGAAAGCACATTACAGTACATGTTACATACCAAACTTTGTCTCCCAATCTTTCTGGCCATCTCAGGCCATTCAGGGAGCAGTATTATCATGAGTGAAATAATATCATCACTTTGACTTTATTGGCACTGAACCAGGTTGGTATTGTTTTGAAACATGACTACAATGATGTATTTGTCAAAGTGAGTTATTGTTAGCATCACTATTTCCAACCATGAGCTATGACAGCAAGACTCAAAATAATGTGTTATTCATGAAGACACCATATCTGAGAGGTTTTAACATTTATGCTACCGCACTTGCGCTCCTAACTTAAAAAATTTAAATAACTGAAACAATACTTTAAAAATGAAACTAAAACTGCCAGCAGGTGGCGGTAAGTCACTGATTTTTATCACTGAATCATTCATTCAATTGATTCATTCGAACGGCTGATTCATTCAGGAATGAATCAAGTGACTGTCTTTATGAATGGGTAATCATGAATCACTGACTCACTAGATTCGTTTAAACACGCAGTTCATTCATAAACGAAACACCGCTGTGTTTGAATGGAGATGCGCAGCGGCTCCGCTGTGTCTTTGTTTTAAACTATTTTCGACTACGAAATAGAGCAAAATCAGACAATAGTGTTATAGTCAGACAGTGTAAGTCACTTAATATTAACTTCTTGTTTATTGAATTGTATTGTATTAAATCAGTATCAGTCACATTTACAAACTCCCTTAAAAATCATTAAAAGATGTCACTCATCTTAGTTCATCGCAATCTCACATTTATAATCAACGAAGCTCTCTACACTGCGCAATGAATCTCTTATTTACACCCTGTCTACACTTTGCTTATGAAAGGATTCGTGAGATATGTCTGTGATACATTACTCAACGCTGCATAAACACGTAGAAAACCGTTGAAGCTCCCCTGAGCGCAAGCACAAGTATAATGATGATCGGGTCAGTCGCTCTGGTGCTCCTAAAAATTTTTTCTTAGTCGCACGCAGTAGTTTTCGGTCGCACTGTAGAGTCCTGCACAATATTACTGTTTTTACTGTGTGTTTGATCAAATAAATGCAGCTTTGGTGAGCATAAGAGACTTCTTTCAAAAACATAAAACAATTGGACTGACCCTAAACTTTTGAACAGTAGTGTATGTAGACTAGGGATAATGTCAAGGCATTGCTAACTGGAGAAATACAATGCTCTTCTGATCATAATGTACTCTTAAAGTGCCCTATTTTGTTATGAATGATTTATTGGTGCATATTATTTCAAAGCAATAAGGATTAATCTTTCATTAAATGCTTCCCACTAACCACCATGCATCACACATAGACCGCTTTAAATGATCCATTTATCTAGTCAATTCCCGATGGATAAAGTCACACCCTAATTTTTCCCATCACATATCCAGTTTGATTTGGAAATCTGTCAGATTATGAAGTGAATTTGCGAATGTTGTTTCATTTGGACTTCAGTATTATGTAGGCCGATGTACTAAATACAAAAAAAGAAAAAGGAAGAAAAGGTTCACCCCGGGTGCCTGTGTGAAAGTTAAGGAAGTCTTTGTTTTGTGAAGAGAGACTGATTGTTAAGTGGTCCTACGGCTCTGCATTTAATCAGGGAATACAGTGTTTGTTGACACGCTCATAACTTGGCTGCTGGAAGCACATGAATGCATTTGTGACCATAAATGTATTGAAGCTTCAGCAGCGCATCTCCCCGACAGGGTCATGTGGGGATAAATGAGGATCTTTGTGTGTCATTCATGGCTGATCCAACTACGACCACTCTTCTTGGTATGTCAGCTCCTTGGTTACAGGAAAACAGTGTGGGGAGTGTGATGTTGCATCACTGCATGTGACTCTGCATTCAAAATGCAAATTGACCTCCACACATTCAAATATGATGGAAAACACCAGTTCAAACTGGACCAAGAGAGTTTTTTTTTCTGTATCCTTTGAAGGTTGAAGCCTGAGTTTCTCTCAGTATGTGCTGATAAAATTATTACATGGGTAGTAGTCTGTGTGTGTGTGTGTGTGTTGTGTGTGTGTTTGTAGGTGTTTACATTGCAACCAAACCACACCTCGCTCTTCCCAAATTGATGAGTCTTGAGTGTTCAGGTGAGGATTTGGGTTTTAAATGTACCTGCCAGGACACGCTCATGTTCCCAAGTGTGTTTAAATGCTCCATACCAGTCACTCTTATTCAAGTAACTATATTTTTAAGGTACTGCAACTCAGTATCACTTAATCTGTTGAATTGATCAAAATGCAGTAAAAATGTTAAATATTATTACAACTGTTTTCTGTTTTTGATATATTTTCAAATGTAAATTAATTCTCATCAGCCAGTTGTGCTGCTTGATGTTTTTGTGGAAACTGAAGATTAGAAAGTTCAAAAGACCAGCATTTATTTGAAATATAAATATTTTGTAACATTATAAATGTTTTACTGTCACTTTCGATCTATTTAATGCATCCTTGATAAATAAAATATTAATTTCTTTAAAAAAAAAAACAATGACCCTAAAAGTGTATAATATGATATACCTTGTCGGCAAAAGTGGTTTAAAATGTAAAACTTACAAATATAAAGTGATTTGAAATTTTTAAAGAATTCACAACAACAGTTAAAATAAGTAGTTACCAAGAGTTGACTGGTTATTTTTCAGTAAGTTAAAATATATAATTGAGTTGCATATAAAATTTAAAGTTTCATTTTGTTTTTTTAAAAAGCTTAAATTTGATGTTTAACAGTGTTTATTGTTTTAATTATGATGCACTCTTTCTGTGGCGCTGCATCAACTGACAGGCATGTGCACACACACACGCACAAGTATTTGCAGTTTAATGATGACAACAGCATTTAATCAGTCGTTATCAGGATGAGCTGTTTTGATAATTGAGAATGCTTGCAAGTTCTCTGCACAGTGCAAAGTCTCGATAATAATAAACAGCTATCATGTACCGTCACTTTTTTAGACAGGGTAAACCTTTCAAAAGTCTCTCAAATTTATCTTATTGTTTTAATTATTGGACAATTTTCCTTTGCAGTAACTAGATTTACAAATAATCAACCACCTCTTTGATTTTAGCCTGTAGTTGAACCTTGAAGCTTTGGATGCATATTCTCATTAATTGCTTTGATTTGTTTCTGAATGGATATTGAATGAGTCAGCGTTGGCAGGAACATTTTTCTATTTGGTTGGGTAGTGCCTGTTCCCAGCTCAACCGGTTTCTTCAGCTGGAAGGCAGCTTTACAGACACAATCACATAGACCTGCCTTCTTCAGTGCTTTACATAACTGATGTTCTCTTCTGCTGCTGTTGCTGATATTAGTGGTGTTTTGATGGTGCTTCTGTTTATTGTGTTTCTGCTCTGGATGTTGCTGCGTGCACATGAGCTGTATGCAGGAGGAGGAAGGATATGGCGACTCTGCAGTATGTTATGTGTCTAATATTGGTCCCCTCAAGGGCTTTCCAGGGCCACTGATCTGGAATCAGTGATCACAGAGTCAAACAGACACAGTTGCGCTCCAGCCACACCCTCTGTCTCTCTCTGTTATTGCAGTCATGTGATCAGACTTCACTTCATTAAACTGCAATGGAAGTTTATCTTGGAAAAATGAGTGCTTGTGCATGTGGGGTTTTCTTTCAGGCAGCATGTGATTCATAATCAAGACTGGATGAGCAGAAATGCAAGTTAAGAACAGGCCACACATGCAAACGGTTCATAAAGTTGAACACTGACTGTGGTTGACAAAGCTGACAAAAAATAAAATACAGTTCATCAGCAATGAATTGTATTTATCTCCTTCATTTCTTTTTTCACTCTTGCACTCCCTTTTGCTTATTTGCTCTTTCTCTCCCTTTTATTACTTTGCTTTTGTTTGTTAGTTCATTGCTGCTTTCTTTCTTTCATTTCCTCATTCTTTTTCATTTTTTACTTTCCTTTTTGTTTTACTTTTTCATTTCCCCCCATTTTTTCATCACATTTTGTTTGCCTTCTCTTTTGTTCATTCACCCTCTTTTAATTTGGTTGCACTTTAGTTCCCATTCATCGATTTCTCTCAATTGTTTGTACACTTTACCACTCCCCCCCCATAACTCGCTTTTGCTTGGTTTCATTTGTTCAATCATTGTTTGATCATTGATCATTTTGATCATTTTCTTGTTCTTTCCATCTCACATTTTCACATTTCACTTTATTTTTTTTTATTATTTTTATTTTTATTTTTTTTCACATTTTTGTTCGCTTTCTATTTTGATTGCTTTCATTCATTCGTCCTCTTCTATTCGGTTGTCATTTTGTTTCTGTTCATTCCCTTTTTGCTTCCATTTGTTTGTTCACTTTTCTTTTACTTTCCTTTTTGTTTTACTTTTTCATTTCCCCCCATTTTTTCATCACATTTTGTTTGCCTTCTCTTTTGTTCATTCACCCTCTTTTAATTTGGTTGCACTTTAGTTCCCATTCATCGATTTCTCTCAATTGTTTGTACACTTTACCACTCCCCCCCCATAACTCGCTTTTGCTTGGTTTCATTTGTTCAATCATTGTTTGATCATTGTTTTTTTTCTTGTTCTTTCCATCTCACATTTTCACATTTCACTTTATTTTTTTTTATTATTTTTATTTTTATTTTTTTTTCACATTTTTGTTCGCTTTCTATTTTGATTGCTTTCATTCATTCGTCCTCTTCTATTCGGTTGTCATTTTGT